ACCACTGGTTGGGAGGGAGAGAAGGAGAGAGAACAGAGATGAGGGGTCACTGTGATTCCAGAGTTCAGAGGCTGTTCCCTCTGCTTCCTTTATCAGCTTGAATGTCAGTGTCCAGTAAATCATATCCGTGCTGTTCTCCTTACTCTCTTCTACCTCACTGAATAATCTCTTACAACTCTTTACCTTCATAAACCCATTTGCTGATGATTCTCAAAATACTATTTCCCAGATAGGTATGTTTTCTAGATCTCTCTTCCCAGATGTATCAAAAGTCCCTAAAATGCATGCAATAAAAGCTGTACATATCATCTCTACTCCCTGCTCACCATCCTGCCCCTCGTCCATCAGAAGTTCAACTTTATATCCTGTGGGTCACACTACATGCCTTCCTTATCCTTACCTACAACGTTTAGCTGGCCACCAGGCTCTGACAGTTGTAGCTCCTTAGGACCAGTGGAACATGCTCTCTGCCTTCCTTGCATTTCCTTGGTTAGACACAACAACTTCTTGGCCCAGGCTGCAGTAGAGACCCAAAGCTGACTTTTCTGCCCCCACTTATCTCTTCTCTCACCGCTTTCATAATAATTCTTCCCAAAGAAACAAATTCAGTCAGATCACTCCCCTTTGTAAAATAATCTTTCAGGGCAAGTATTTTGACTTTTCATGACCCAGCCAGTATCTGCCATTCATGTTTCATTTCTTCCTACACCTAACCTTTCAGCCTGATAGCCTCCAGCATGCAAACTTCCTTCATCTTGTTTTTGTACTCAAAATATTTGTATATCATGCTTTCATTGCCTGGATTATTTTGCCTTCTCTTTGTTACTTGGCTACTTCAAATTTAGGAATTAACCCCTACAGGGCACACATCAGGAATTAACTCTTCTGGGGAGCGTTTCTGGACACCTTGCCTAAGAGGCAGGTAGCATACCAGGGTACCATGTGAATATTTCTGTCATAGTGGTTATTACATTGTTGTATAATTCCACATTCAGCTAGGTTTTTATCTGCCTCCTCCGCATGACTAGGAGCCTCTTGTTTTCTGCCTCTTGTATGGTTAGTGTCTAGCGAGCCTGCCTGAGGGTAGAAGTGTTTAGCAACTAAATTACTAAACGAATGAAGGCAAGCTTCAGATGGATTAGTAGTCTCTGTGGCTATCCCAAGCGCATAATCATAACGAGAGACTCTGACCACAGTTATAATTGTTAAAAATAATGTTCCCATTGAATTTCTTCAACACACAGCTCCACAGGAAGAGACTCACCACTCTGATATTCCCACCCAGGAATGGTTAAATTTCAAAGATGTCTAGTTTTGTCCAATGAAGTTGTTTTAAAATTGAAGCTAGGCGTCTCAGCCCAGTGAAAGCCACAAAGTACTTTTCCACATAGCCCAGCACCTACATTTCAATCCAGTCTGGCTCTTTACTTGGTCCTGCCCCATGCCTTTGCTGGGTGTTGGAAATAACCTGTGGATTCCACGCAGCTCCAGGGCTTGAGGAGCTCGGTGAACACTCACTCGCCCAGGGCAGCACTGATTCCTAGTGCCCTGCACACCACCTTGCAAAGCCAGGGGCTTAATAAAGCCTGGTTTATGAGCATTCTGATCACGATGACTCAATTATCCAATTATTCATAATTCATTTAAATAACCACCAAACTTGTTTTGAGCACCTGCTATATGCCTTTTATACAGAGATGAATTAGGGACATTCTCTCTGCCCTTGTGAAGCATTTTAGGGCTTGGTGAGTGAGAAAAATGTCCCAACAGGCAATTATAAGGCAATGGAAAACGTGTTAATAGAAGTCTCCACAAAGGGCAGGTTTTGTGGACAGGAGGAAGAGAAGAGAATATTCCAGACAGACAGAACCACATGTATAAAAGGTGAGAAGGGTAAGAGAGAACATGAGAAGTTCGAAGAACTGTTAGAGAGAAGCTGGGATGCCTCACAACATGAGAGCAGATGGGTTATTTAGGGAGCCTGGAGGAAGGAATGGTGAGAAAGGAGATTGCAGAGGCAAACTAAGGGTTGCCTACGGCGGAACAAACAGAAAGGAGGCTGCAGCCAGATTCAAGTTTGGATCTCCTCACCTTGGGCCCTAGGGAGCACCATATGGCTCTGGAACAGCCAGAAAAGTGGGATCTACAATTTTCCAGGAAAAGAGTAGTTCTGGAAATCTGCAGACCAAACAGAGAACTGTTGAATTAATGTAAGAAAGGAATGATGGGGAAATGATCTGGGGCTGTGGCAGTGAGAATAGAAGAAAGGGAGTGATCTCAAGGTCATTGCGAGGTAAAGGTGCAGGTGATACGCCATTGTGGGTGGGAATAGCAGTTAGTACAGAAAGCAAGTCAGGTGCTCAGCTGCATGCCAAATTGAAGCAGGCGTAAAAGCTCGGGAAGAAATATTAGCAACATTTTGACAAAATATTTTTTTAAAAAAATCAAAACCAGTGTTAAAAAAATATTAACAAAATATCAAAATTTAAAACAGGCAGGGTCAGTATTACTGATTTTTCCTTTTGCCTGTGGCTCTATTATGGCTTGACCTGGTGCTATACTGATCCTAGCTTTATTGAAACTTTTGATATGTCATTCATCATGGGTTTTTGCATTGATTTCATTGTTAAAAAAATACTGCATTCACTTATTGTTTATCTTGATTACTTTTTTTTTTCACTCTCTTAAATTTTTGCACTGACTCAAGTGCTTCAACCTACTCCTAGCCTTGGAACTGGGTAAGAGCAAGGCGGGGCGGGGGCGGTTATCAGGAATGATTGCAAGGGTAACATCAAGTAGGGTGCGTTAATATACTGGCACGATGCCTTATGCCATTGACGCACAACTCTGTCTGCTCCTAAAAGTGACTTTGTTTGGATACCAGGATGCTACCTTTCCTCTACTCACCAATAGCTGTCACTTGATACTACGCATTTTCACCAATGAAGACATCATACAGACCCCCCATCTCTACCCTGACTTCCTCCCTCTGAACAAAGTGAGTTTGGGTCTCCCATGATGAAACTCACATGCAGCTTGTGTACAACTTCCCTAAATGCCACAAATGCTTTGGAATAAGCATGAAAATTGGTTTCTAAGCTCCAGCAGTTTCTAAAATAGGGGTGGTTTAAAATAAAAGCAGTATGATAAAAGGGATTCCTATAGAGCAGATTGTGGGAAATAGCAGTGAGCCTCCAAAACAGAAAACCTGCGGAAAGAGTCAGAAAGAGCATCTAGCCATTCCTGAGTAAGGGCAGCGTGGGCAGCAACTGTGGTCTTCCAGGAAGAGTGGCCAGCTCTGTCTCCATTTCTTCAGTCTTGGAGTGGGAGAAACTCATTTCTTTCCATCCCTTGAAGCTTCTTTTTACTTTACGTCCTGGCTTGATGCAGATGTAATATATTCTGTCAGTGCAAAATTTGGACTGAAATATATTGTGGCCTTTGAAAACTGAGGAGGGAATTGGGTGATTTTCCAAATTCATGGCAATGTACAGATGAATACATTGGGCACAGTGGAGCAGAAGTAGGGAGGGTGCTAGGAAGTGTACTTCTGGTCAGATGACAGCATGTAAAGCAATGCTTTAATGGAGACAACAATAGAGTAGGTAAAAATGAACATTGATATAGAGAATTTGATACCTATGGACTGTGGCTGGAAATTTGAGTAGAGCACACCTGATAACTTCAATTTCCTTAGAGGAGTGGGAGAGAAGGTTGTCTTGTAAGAATATGGGCTTGAGGTAAATATTTAGCAGAATACTGAAGGTTGAGAGAAGTAGAGATTGAATTAGCCAACGATACCAAACGGACTTGGAAGAGTCCTAGCAGATCCCCTGAACACGAGACAATGAATATGTGTGGCTCCCATCTCCACAGTCACGTGAATTGTGTTTCTAGCTGTGCTCGGCTTTCTGGGCAAAGGCTTGGAGAAGGTGAGTCACAGGACTGACCCCAGTTTGGGAAGATGCAAGGCCTGTGAAGAGTGGAGGGTGCTGGGTGCTGGAAGAAAACAGGGGACTTCAGACGTGTTTGATATCAGGGCAGTGTCTGATGTGGCCAGCAATGGCAGATATGAGCAGTGCTGCTAAGCCTTAAGCTTCCAAGTTTTACGCAGCTTTCTCATAACACTAGAAAGAGCTGAGGGAGCTGTGTGGTTGCAGGGGCCTTTGCAGGGAAGCACCCTAGGTCAGCATAGGCAGCCACATAGCCAGTGCTTTCTAGCAATTAGGCTCCCTTTGGTCCTCTTGGCATCCCCTTACCATCACTATGAGCTCTGCATTGTTAACAGCACAATCTCTGCTTTTGAAGTATAGCCACACAGCCCCATCTTAGGGAGAATAAAAAGCCTTATTTGCTTCTCTGGGACCATTAAGAACAGGCCTGGTGAAGACGGCATTGCCTTCCTGTACCATGTAAGCTCCCACTAGTCCTCCTACTCATAATGAAAATGCTCGTATATGAGAACCAATGATGAAGGCCTCATCCTCAGGTTGATAATTAAGACAGATGCCACTAACATTTCTTAAACCATGCTGAATACAGCTGTCAGGGCAGGAGGGAATTTGAGAAGGCGGTATGTAATTAACCTAGTTGGAACTGGGCCAGGGGACCCAAGGTTAATGGCCCTGGGAATGGGAGCATTAATGACCACTAATGGTCAAGCCCCTTTTCATGTCTTACTCATTAGAGCTACCTTTTATATTCTGTAAGATCATGGCCTTTGGCTTCAGGACCAAGGGTAATGGAGAATTGCCACTCCCCCCAGACGATGTGTTCTGCATTCTGCCAGCTTCTGTCCAGCTCTTGATTCCCCCACCCATCTCAATCTTCAGGTATGGTGTATAGCAGATCTCAGCACATACCAGCCATCTGCTGAGCCCTGCTGATGAGAGCTGAGACATACACATGATGCATATTCATGGGCAGAAATTGTTTCAGGTTTTTATTCAACAGATTGACAAAAGTGTGACATCATCTTGCTTTTATCTGTTTGACCCTGGTGTTCGTTTTTCTATACACTCCCTGGGTGAGCTGGAATAGAATCTGTAACCACTCTGGGATGTGTGCCCCATCGTATCTGAGGGCCACAAGAATCATTAACGTGAATCTTCACAGGCTTGCACGCTGCCTTGATTGACTAAGAAACTGCTATTTTTGTCCACTCTGTTTCTCCTTTGCTTGTACTCCCTTTAACCTCCAAACGAGATTTCTACCTTTGCCATAAGCTAATCTCCTGTGATAAGCTTTTATGATGCAAATTTGGGACAGTGGATAGACAGAGACAGAACTCGAGCAAAGGAGATGAGGGTACAGACTCATGGGAGAGAAGAAAAGGCAGAAACAGAGCAAAGGAAAAAGAGAAAGCGAAATTTGCTATGGATGTGATTTGAGTGGGGGAGTCTAGCATGGGTCCTGGCAAAAGGAAGCTTCAGGCAGCTGTGTTGTGAGTGAGAGAAAAAGTATAAGCAGGGGAAAGTTAATTTTAAAAAGTCTAGCTGATAGTTATCAAACAGATCTCTTTTAATATTCTTAGAGGGCTACAAGTAAACACTGGCATTTGTTTTAATTGCATCAGGCTGTTAAAGTGTTTTCCTTTTCATGGAAACCTCCCCTGCCACCGACACTGGGTCATATGGGGTTCTGGGATGACCTGAGTTTCCATGTTTAACTGGAAAGCTGAAGTCACAGCTTCAAGAGAAGCTCAAACAGGGAGGGTGGCTTTGCCTCCCCCTTGACCTCGGTAGTGGAAACACATTCTGCAGTTCTAACTTTCCCAATGAATTTTAAAAAGCAGAGTGTGTTGAAAATCGCTAGAGACCAAGAAGTCCCATGCTCCCTGTGGTGAGGTACCTCTACAAAGACTCTCAGGGTTACACATTTGTTTCAGTCCTCACATCAAGTCTCAAGAGTGGGCATTACAAACCCATTTGTAAATGTGCAAACTGAGGCCTAGTGCCATAGAGCGACTTACTCACTTGTCATGAAGTTAATAATAAGCAGCTCCACTCACAGTAGGAGTCTGAATTTTATAATAAAAGGGAAGGTGCAGAAAGAAGGAGAGATACTGAAAGTGAAAATTAAGTTCTTAAGGAGAGGCGGGGATTCAATGAACGCTACGGGGCTCTTCTCCAGCTTCTTTTGCCAGGCTCATCTGGAAGAGTCTCTAACACTCAGTGACTTTGAGTTCTTTGTTGTGAGAGTGAGAAACCGGCGGCGAAGCAGAGCCGCTGTGCCTCTGCTGCATTTCACCCTGCATGAAAGCCTCAGCTGGCTGCTGGCCTCCGCCCCTGCCTAGGCCCTTTCTTTGGACCCAATGAAAAGGCAGTAGGGAAAGCAGAGCCTATCTTCTGCGTTTGGCAGTTAAAGTCCAGGTAGAGGTAGGACAAGGAAGACGTCTGCCTGACGCTGCTGGCCTTGACGTTGCCGCCACGAACCTGCAAGATAATTTCTGCCATTAAATCATCCATAATCAGATGCAATGACTATCATTTTTGTGTGTGTGAACATCTCACTGCCTGAACACAAACATCTCAATAGCCACGGCCCCCTAATTTTCTTTGTTGAAGACAACAAAACCAAAGGTAATAGGCAGGAGGAGGGACTGAGTCCCAGGGGGCACACTCTCTGGAGGAGTCTCCTGGGCTTAAATACATCTAAAGCAGATCCAAAAGAAAGCAGTGATTACAGGCTAATTTTCTGCCTGCATTATGTTAAGCATCCCATCTCTACACAAATGGCAATTGCTTTATGCCAGAAATCTTTTACTGAATTCCTCTTATTGGTAAATTTTGTATTAAAAAAAGGGAGACAGACTAAAGAAAGGTTTTTCAATTTAAAGGTGAGACTATCAGGGTGCCAGTAAAAGATACAAGACTGGCACGTCACCAAGAGTTGATTTTCCTTTTCCAATGCAATTATTAGAGAAGGCAAATGGTCCTGTCCTTTGAATGTGCCAGTTAAGGGTTTTGGAGGCACCCAGCTTTAGCTGGAAGAGGACGCAGCCTGCTCGGGCAGCACACTGAGTTCTTTGCTAAGACAGCTGAGGGGGTTAAGGCAGGGGCAGAGGTGAAGAGAGGCTGATGCATTTGAGCCTCACGAGTTATCAGATGGCCATCCACAGGAGACTGAGGTGGACACCTGAGACCCTCTTCCTTTTATGTGGACACTGCCCCTTTCCCAGGAGCAATGAGAGTCAGCCCAGTCACGTCACTGACTCCCCCTCCTCTTCCAGTCTGGATCTGAAGTCCTAAAGATACTTTTTTTTTTTTTGCATGCTATTCCTTTATTCATTCCCCATTCATGCAATGAATACCTCCTAAGCATCTTCTATGTTGCAGACAGTGGGCCACACCCTGAGAATTCAAAAATATAGGAATTATGATAGTCAAACAGAAATGGAACATGAGCGTTGAGATCAGAGAGATCTGAATGGGAAATTCCACCAAACTCCTCCTTGCCTTGGATAAATATCTGAAGATCTTATACTTGAAAAATGGAGTGGAAGGAGGCGCCTGCTGATTCCTGCCTCAGACAGTTGTGGAAAGGATTAAATAATATCTCTAAAGCAACTAGCATAGGGCCTCTAGTATTCAATGCTCAATAACCATGTGTTGATTCTGCCTTATCTGAAATTCTCAGTTGGTACCGGAACTTTCCCCAATCCCAGAGATGCATCTGACCCACAACCACCAGGGCATCAGGCCAAGAGACCATACCTTCCCCAAGTAAAATGCAAATCTGTGGTCCTCTTGACACAAGGCTGGGAGGAAGGATGAAGGATGAAGGCTGTGACATGAGCGCCTGGTGGGGCAGGAGGAATTTGTGATTAGTTCCAAGGGAAGGCAATGGGGATGTGAGAGAGGCCCTTCTGTGCCAGCTACGACATCAGGGATTTTGTACAGATTATTTTGCAAGTGTGTGTTGGGGGTGGGACTCCCCATCCAATCTAATCTCAACAACTCCAGGTGAATGTTTGTGGTGAGGTCAAAAGACAAACACAAAATTGCAATGTCCCAGAGCCCCTGAAGAGAGCTAAGCCTTGGCCTTTGAGAACCAAGGCATGTCTATTTCTGAGGATGTGTGGCAGGACCATTCATTCCAAAAAGAAATGAAGATTTATGTTGCAGTTGAGAATAAGTGGTAAATTAGCAATAAGTCAACTTTTGATCCAACATCCCCTGCAGACAGGGCATTGATACTAGGAAAGATTAGACTATTCTCCAGCTGTCCCGAGTGGGAAACTGGGAGTTAATTTAAACTTGTCTGTGTGTGTCACATGTCCGTGCTGAAATGGGTATTGTTCTTTTCTTGACTGGTTAACTCCAGTGTTGAATGCAGCCTCAAGGGCATGACTGTGAGGAACAGAAGGAAGATATTGGTCTTCATGTCTGAGAGATCCTAGGCATGGATTGCAGCCCACACTTTACCTATGATGAATGTGACCTTGGACAAATTATTTCTTTGAACATGCAATAGCCTCTGTAAAATGAGGACTGTGACATCTGACAGGGTTGTTTTAAGGCTCAATTTAGATAACACAATTTAAATACCGAGCAGAGGAACCGCCATTTACTGGACACTCAGTTGATATTAGTTCCCTGACACAGAATACAGAATGAAGAACACTTGGCAGGGATTTAGTGTTTGATGATGATGGTCATGATAATGGCAGCATTACTGTGGGTGTTCAGAAACGAAGACAAACATGGGACTCTATTGCCTCCAGAACTTGGCAGGGAGTTGAGTGCTGGAAGTGGAAATGGGGGTGGCTGTAGCTTTGCTGATTCATGCTACCAGAAAGGCCCTGAATACCAGTTCCATACGGCATGCAGGACACCACGTTGTACAAGGATACAGATTCACGGTTCTGCTTGGTCACTCAGCTCAGTCTTCTCCATCTCAGGTTCCCAGGGCCCACTGCCAATTTGTCTCCTTTCCTCTTACGAAACTTTTGGAGTCTGGCAGAAATTGATTCCCAGATTCAGTTTTTCTGGTCAGAAATAAGCAAGCATGAGAAATAACTGAAATCCACACGATTCCACCTTTTGGATCCATTGGAATTTAGAGCAAGTTTTCTAAGGCACTGGGCTCTCTCGTGGTCAAGTTGAATGACTCCCATCACCCCAGCAGCCTGTCACCCTCTTCCTTTCCTTTTTTTCCTTTCTAACCACATTCTTCTTCAGCTTCTCTTTCTCCTGGATCTGCTCATTTCTCTCTCATTTAGTCTTGCTCAAAATTGCTGTGTCAAAGATTCTTTTTCCTGATGTCCCTCTCAGACGAATAGCGGGATGTCAGCCCTAGATGGGCCATAAATAATGCATAATACCCAGGAACAGCCAGAGCAGCCCTCTGATTACAAAGAGAAGATCTTTTGATAACATATTATCCTATTTACTCTTTGTAATGCCACGAGTTCTTCATTCAGCAACGATGTGCACCTACCTGCTCACCAATTTGAAACCCCAGCAAAAAAACGGTGTTCCTGCTGCTGTCTGATCCCAGCTCCACCACCAGGAGAGCCTGTCAGACATCCTCTTCCGATGCCCATGCTGCCATCCCAGGGCCCCTGGAAACCTGCCAGAAAGGTGGTCAGTCTTTTTTCAGTTCAAAGCATATCTTTCTTTATTTCAAATTCTTGTTATAGCCTTCGTGTTTTGATTCTTGCCAAACTCTGGAGATGGTAAAGACCTCTAACTCAGCCCCCTTACATATATAAATATAGCGCCTAATAAGTTCTATATTCAGGACCCAGCGCTTCATGAATGCTGGATGCCCCAAACGTAACCCTGTAAAGTAGGTTGTTATTATTTCCAGTTTCAGTAAAGGAAATTATGATTCAGATAAGCTAATTGATTGGTTCAAGGTTACCAAGCTGATAAACTAGGAACCCCCAACTGAAATCCAGTAGCCATGACTTCCTGTTCCATTATCGTTCTTTGTTTCTACTGGTTAGGATTCAGAATTTAGAGACAAGGATAGGTGAGTATATTAGCCACGGTAACAGTAGAAAACAGAATTCCATTTCATTCAAGTGAAGATATGGTATTGAGGAGACAATTTACAGAGGTTACAGGTAGGGTAAAGAAAGAACACCTAAAAGGAATATGGAGGCACTCAGTGGCTTGCAAACAAGAAAGCCCCTGCCACATCTAGGTGTAAAGAAAAAGGGGGAAGAGGTAATGTTTTGGAGCCGAGGGGAGGGCTGGAGCCATGGAGGAAGGTCTGCCTGCTTGATCTCTGGAAGGCTCAAACACTGCCAGGCACAGCCCTGGAGCAGGGACGGAATGGGGAAGAGGACCACTTTCTTTGTCAGGCATTTGCCAGGTTCAGCTAGAACCAGCCAGCAAGGGAGAAGGTGATAGAGTTGGTGGGGTCTACATTCCCTGGCACAGAGCAGAGCCTGTACTCTGGTCCTTCTTCACAGGGCTGCAGCCAAAAAGTCACTGCCTTCCTATCCAGACTCTATACCTACAGGGGGATTCACCATGAAGTCAAGAAAACTCAAGCTTCAGGGGCTTTCACCATTATGTCTTGCTTCATGATAGTCCACCCCAAAACTTGGGGGTTCAAACAAGAATGACTTACAATTTGTTATATTTCTGTAGGTTGGCCAGGTGGTCCTTCTGCTTTTCGTGGTGTCAGCTGGAGTCACTCACACAGCTGCATTCAGCTTGGAGCTCAGCTGGGTCTGAAACATACAAGCCAACCTCACTCACGTGTTTAGGCTTCTCAGTTCTCTGGCACAGAATCCTGATCTCTGCACAAGATCTTGTGTCATTTCATTCACTGGCCTGAACTTCTTTTTATGATGGCTGGCTTCCAGAAAGACAAAAGCAAAAGCTGTCAGGCCTCAAAAGACCTACGTCAGGACCTGACACAGCATTGCCTCTGCCTCACTCTATTGGCCAGAGAAACTTGCAGCCCAGCTCAGATTCAAGAAAAAGGGATAGAGATTCCACCTCATGATGGCAATTGCAGCATGCACATACAGGGTGGGAGGAATTCTTGGAAGCCTCTATCCGGCAAATCCTCCACAGCCTGCCTTCTCACTCCAGCAATTCATGCCCTTCTTATGTGGAAAATATATTTTGCCTCTTTTCAAGACATCCAAAATTTTCATCCCATTATGACTTCAAACCAAAGTTCAATAATCTGTATTGGGCTGAGATGTGGCTGTGGCACCTCTTGGGCTAAAGAACTGTGAGCTGAAAATACAAGGTAAACTCCACTATATCCAACATATAATTGTGATATAATGCTGATATAAGCACAGAATAGTTGCAGTAAACATTGGGATATAAAAAGGCGAAGACCAGGAAGTTCATCACAGTTACTGGCCCATAACAATTCTAAAATCAAGCAAGGCGCTCATTCACTGCGCATTAAGCTTTCCTGGGAGCAGAGAATTTTCTGTGATGAGCGTCAAGCTCTGCCTCTGTGAGGTTCTTGATTCAAGCCAGGGATCTGGCAGGCAGACCTTCCTCCACGACTGCAGCTCTCCCCTTGGCTCCAAACATTATCTCTTCCCACTTTTGCTTTAACTGTTATTTTCTACTTTTGGTTGATTTCACCTTCCCGGCTCTTTGCTATGTCCTCAGATTCATTCTTCCTTTTTCATAAGAAACGGCCCATGTTTGCAGCTGAATAACTTTTTCAGCTTACTTTTTTTTTTCCCATTGAAAGCTTGGGACTCAAATGCTTCTTTTCACTTTGAACTTCCTTATTCCTTTATTCAATGGTAGTTCTCTCATCAGGACAATTCTCTTTAAAATATCGTGTGCCATCCATTGACCTCACTGAGGTTCACTCTGTGCTCCATGCCCTAGCATAATTCTTTCAGCAACTAACCGCCCACAACTTTGTGTGTGTAAAGCAACCTCCTTATGATTTCCAGTAGTTCTTTTGTCTGACTTGGAAGGTCTAGGAAGCATTGCCTTCAGTCTTCTAGAATTCTTAAGAAGGTGTCCTTCAGCCACAGCCTTGATTTGATCTTTACTCGAAGGCCCATATTTTGCAAATCTTTGACACCTGGAAAACTACGCTGGGGGCCCTTTTATTTTCTCTAAATTTATCTTGGAAACTGGTCAATTCTTTGGCTCCCCTCTCCTTTGCAATGCCTCAACATATACTATTAAAAGAAGCCACTTGGCATTTTCAATTTTACCAAGCCTTGGAAGTTCACAACGTATTCACTTACCTCACCGTTCTCCAAGCCTCTCCTCTTTACTCTCAGTCTTAGCTTTTTTCTGTTGCTATAAAGGAATACCTGAGGCTGGGTAACTTACGAAGAAAAAGGGCTTATTTGGCTCATGGTTCTGCAGGATATACAAGAAGCATGGCCCCAGCATCTGCTTCTGCTGATAGGCTCAGGCTGCTTCCACTCATGGTAGAAGGTGAAAGGGAGTTGGTGTGTGCAGAGATTGCATGGCAAGAGAAGCAGCAAGGGTTGGGGGAGGTGCCAGGCTCTTTCTAACAACAAGTTCTCGCAGAAACTGATGATGAGAACTCACTCACTACCAGGAGAATGACAGCAGGTCATTCATGGAGCACCCACCCCTATGAACCAAACACCTCCTACCAGGCCCCACCTCTAACGCTGGAAATCAAATGTCAACATGAGGCATGGTGGGGCCAAATAAACCATATCCAGACTATAGCACCCCCTAACCTGCCACATGATCCCAAAGAAAATACCACATGACGTGATATTTTGTCATGACAGCATCACACACCTAAGTAAAAATTCATTTGTCCGTTGTTTTCATTATCTATTTCTGGGCAAAAAATCTTCCCAAAACTTAGTGGCTTAAAACAACAACAAGTATTTACTTTAAGATTTTGTAAGCTGTACTACGCTCAGCAGGGATGACCTCATGCTGCTCCACACAGTGACAGCTGGAGTCATTTCCATGGCTGAGTTCAGCTGGGCGCTCCTCTGAAGTTGAAACATCTAGGAAGCCCTTACCCGCTTATGTTTTGGGATGGCCTGGTGCCAAAAAAGCTAAGAGAAACAGGGCCTCTCACTTGTACTGGCTGCTTGCAAGATTGTGGAAGAGGCTCTAAGAAGATAGTCAGCTGATCGTATTTTGTAACCTGTACTGAAGTGAGACATTTTAACTGCCATCAATCAGGGCTTCCACCACTTTTAACCTGATATAACACTCATCATATTGCAGGTGGCATCACAACGGCAAAAAGGATTTTTGGGATTCACCTAAGAGAAATTTGCGTTGGGATGCACTGAGTTTGCATTCGTCAAATGTGCTTTATGGACCACACATCATGTCTATGCATATTACATTCTTGCTAGCTGTTCTGATTAGGGATGGCTTTCAGAAAAATGTGTCTGCTCTCTACAATGCAGACACAAATGTCCCCCAGAAGTCACAGGGTCCAATGTGAACATGTCTCCTGTGGTCCAGTACTGAGGATATGTGAAGAGAGGAGGAAATTTGAAACTAGTCTGTGGAAAGTCTACCAGGTGTCATAGGCCTTGAAAGGAACTCAGTGTTTTTCCAAACCAAAATTCTAAGAATTTCTACAACATTACCAATCATGATTTGGGAATCTGAAAGAAACTATCTTGGGCTATCAATTAAAAAAAAAATCAGTCAACTATGCTAAAGTATATACTGAATTACTTTCTATTCTTTCTACAGGAAACAGTAACATAAAATTCTTTGCATTTGAAGATGCAATAAAAAGTATATAGCTGAGAATACAGGAAAATGTTACTGCAGTGCATTGGGGAGACATTTAATAACAATATTATTTTCCTGGAGTTTCTGATGTCTGTGGATATATTTTAGCTTTTAAAAATTATTACTTGTGATTTCTCATTTTAATTAAATATTCACATCCATACCTAATTTTGTATTTCTAATTGCATATTCTTTTCTTAAAGAGCACTTCAAAATTGTATAATATTCAAACCCCACTGAATCTGGGCCATGTTCGTATCTAGACCACAGGCTTCACTCTTAAATGCAATGTAAAGATATTAACTAGTAAAGTACTGAAGTTGGTGCTATCTCCCAGCATAAAGGAGTCATGTTCAGTGTAAAATGACTTATCTGGGTTGCATTTCTCAGGACAATAGGGAATCAGAGAATACCGGAGCTAAAGAAGACAAGATGAGGAATGAGAACAGCTAAGAAAAATGTCACCTTATTCAGTGGCTTCAGAGACAGACATGGGGATGGTAACTTTAGGACACAGAAGACACTCAGATCTGGTGACCATCTGGGGACACAGGGAGAGCAGTACTGCTTATTATAATACCGACAATAATAGCATAACTCATTTACCTAATTATTTTGTATTCAGCACTGGCTTGAGCACTTGATATGCATTAACATATATGATCTGCCTAACAACTCTGCAAGGTAGTTTTTATTGCCATATCCATTTTGGAAAAGGAAAGAAGGCACAGAGAGACCCAAGAACTTGACCTAGTTCACTCTGCCTGCACCTGCTGGACCTGGGGTTCCATGAGTCCTCTGCTCCAGAGGCCGCTGGCTTAACAACTCACACCCTTACATTTGTATAGCACTGTGTAGTTTATCAAGCAATTTTACATACAGCATCTCCCTTATAATCCTAACAGCCCTGAAAGGTTGGCAGGACAATTGCTGTTACTCTCATTTTATGGGTGATTAATTGAAATCTAAAATAGCAAAGTGACTTATTCATGATTCCCAGCTCTCAGTGGTAGTATTGGAGCTGAAAGCCAACTCTTGGGTATGTTTCATTTTCTCACATTGTGTATTAATAAATTTCAGCTTTAGTTATCTTCAGTTTCTAAGACATCTTTATGTATAATGCTAACACGGTACCTTCCGCAACTATAACAATAAAGAGGCATTGTTATTCTCCCAATGTTACCAAAGAGAAATATGTGGTCTAGAGAGATGAGCCCTGGTGGTGTGACTCCAGATTCACAAGCCACACTCTCTCCTGCACAAACAGCCACTGCCACAGTCTACCTGCTAAATCATGAACACGACTTGATCCTTCCGATGCTCGGGGAACAGGAGATGGATTCAATACCTCAGGACTTCAAAGTGCACAGTGATCTTAGGGGACATCAAATAGATCCATGTGTCTGGGGCATGGATATCAAGTTGAAAAAAATGGGACCACATGGTGTGGGATTTGAGTGCCATGATGTGAACATTAATTCGCAGGGAGTGAGCACTGAGTATACAAGATCCATACTAGGTACTGGGAACAAACTGAAGAAATAAAAGTGTGGTCTTAAGCTGCAAACTGTTTGGCCTCTAGTGTAGGGGAAGCAAGCCTGTATGAAAGAAGCAGAAAAAAAGCAACTTAGGGCCAAGTGTGGTGGCTGATGCCTACAGTCCCAGCACTTTGAGAGGCTGAGGCAGGCAGATCACTTGAGCCCAGAGGCTCAAGACCAGCCTGGGCAACATGGTGAAACCTCGTCACTACCAAGGAAAGAAAAAAAAAAAAACTACAAAAATTATCTGGGCTTGGTGGCACATGCCTGTAGTCCCAGCTACTTGGGGTTGGGGCTAGAGTGGGGCTGCTCATGTGAGAGGATCACTTGAGTCCAGGCAAGTTGAGGCTGCAGTGAGTCGTGATCATGCCACTGCACTCCAGCCTGGGTGGCAAAGTGAGACACTGTCTCAAATAAATAAATAAATAAATAAATAAATCAACT